CGTGGCCGAGGCGTCGCCTCGACCGACCGTGGCCGAGGCGTCGCCTCGACCGATTGTGGCCGAGGCGTCGCCTCGACCGATCGTGGCCGAGGCGTGCGCTTCGGCTTATCGCGGCCGAGGCGTAGCCTCGTCCGATCGTTTTTTTTTTTTTTTCCGGGGCCGAGGCGTGACCTCGGCCACTGGGCTAAGGTGGCCGAGGCGCGGCCTCAGCCTGTGGCCGAGACGCGGCCTCGGCCTGTGGCCGAGGCGCGGACTCGGCCACTGGGCCAAGGCGCCGCCTCGGCCACTTGGCCGAGGCGCCGCCTCGGCAACTTGGCTGAGGCGTGTGCCTCGGCCTTGGCTGAGGCGCGCCCTCAGCCATTTTTTTTTTTTGAAACAACATGGGCGGACCACAAGCACGCCTCGGCAACTTGGCTGAGGCGCGGCCTCGACCAGGAGGCCGAGGCGTGTGCCTCGGCCTTGGCTGAGGCGCGCCCTCAGCCATTTTTTTTTTTTTTTTTTTTTTTTTTTTTTTTTTGAAACAACATGGGCGGACCACAAGCACGAGATATTTTTCCAAAAGATTTCAGAATGCAAAGCGGGCGGACCGCGATTTCCAAACACCAGTTCCAAACGATTACTAGAATATTAAGGAAAATACTTAATCAAATGTTCCTAGCTCCATACCCGAACGATCATCCTTACAGATGGTGTGGACTTATAGATCATTTCTGCCAATCTTTTTGCATGCTTTAACGTAACAACTGCGGGCCGCTCGCTGGTCTCCTCTGACAACCCCTATCCCGCTCGGAGTGGGGAACTTCATACACAAGTGTTCCACCGACACTATGGCCTTGAGGTTCTCCAGTGCCGGTCTACCTAATATGATGTTGTGCGCGCAAGTGAGTCTTACCACGATGAATTCCAAGTCAAGTTTGCGAATGTTAGAGCTCGTGCCTATCTCCACTGGTAAGACCACTGACCCCTCCGTCTCCACTGAATCACCCGTAAATCCAGAGAGTGGGGTACGTACTTCTTTGAGCTGGTTCCTAAGTATCCCTAACTTGGTGAAGACATCGTAATACATCACATTGACTGAGCTTCCCGTGTCGACTAAGATGCGGCGGATAATGACATCATTGACGTCCATCTCAATTACCAGGGCGTTACGATGGGGTAACGGGCCCTCTGGGAGGTCATCATCAGAGAAGGTGATGGCCTCCTGTCTCTGTTTCTTTTCTCTGGGAAGACTCGCCACTTCTCCCACGTATAGCCGCCGGCTCCACTTCTTTCTTTCCGCGGGCGTGTCGCCCCCTGCAGGTCCACCATAGATAAAGTGTATGGTGTACCTCTTTTGTCGTCTGGGTGCCACCTCGGTTTCTTTCTCGCTATCACTCTGCTCAGATATTTGGTCGTGGTCTCTTTTTTTGGCGTTTGAGGTGGACGGCTCGGTGCCATCCTCATTCCTCCAGACATTTTTTGGTGGATTGTGTTGCGGCTGTTGCTGCTGCTTGGGTCGCTTGACGAAATGTCGGAAGTAGCCCTGCTGGATGAGGTCTTCTATTTGTCTCTTCAAAACGTGACACTCATCCGTATCGTGTCCGGCATGCCTATGAAACCTGCAGTACTTTGTTTGGTCTGCCTTTGGGGAGACCTTCATGCACTCCTCGGGGAATTCTACCATTCCCATCTCCTCAGCTTGCTTTAGAATGACACTGACGGGATGGGTAAGAGGAGTCAAATTACGCAAGGGGACCAGGCGAGGCCGTTCGTGGTCTCGGCCTTTCCCTGCGATCGGGTGGTTCGAGAGTGGTGCCTGGCTGGGCGGACCAGCTTTCCCAGGCTTCCCATCTTTCCTACCATCCTCTTCGTCCTTCTTCTTCCTGTCGACGTCCTCTGCTTCGGCATAGCGGCTAGCCGTCCTCATCAGATCTTCGTAAGAGCGGGGGTGGTGAGCGTTCAGCTGCTTGTGGAAATACCCTGATCTTAAGGCATGGATAAATATCGGGATCGCCGCCTTGGAGTCGAAGTCGTAGACATTATTGACTTCCTTTTTCCATTTGATCAGGAAGTCTTTGAGGCTCTCGCCTCTATCTTGCTTCACTACACAGAGGTGAGAGAAGGGTTTCTTGCGATGTATGCTACCGGAGAAGTATGTTAGGAAGCTCTTGGATAACTCCCCAAAGTTTTGGATCGACCCATCTGGGATGGTGTTGAACCAGTCTTGGGCCGCTCCATCCAGTGTGGACAAGAACGCTCGGCACATGATGGCGTCCCCTGCCCCGATCATTACCACAGCAGCCTTGTACCTCGTCATGTGGACACGTGGGTCAGTGGCCCCCGTGTACTCCTTGATGGCGGGCAACCTAAAGTCCCTCGGCAAAGGTACGTCCATGATGCTAGGGGAGAATGGTGCTGCCATCCGTACCTCAGGTTCCGGCGACTGCTCCCGTGCCTCCACCCTTCTTGCTAACTTCTCGATTCTTCTCTGCAGCTTCTCGACCAGGGCCGACTCGTCAGGGTGCCGACGCGGGGCCGGCTGCCGCTCCTCCATGTGTCGGCGTGGAGCTAGTTCATCGACGTGCTGTCTATCCGAGTGTCGACGCGGAGCGGGTTCCTCGACGTTCCGTCCATCCAAGTGTCGGTGTGGGACCCGCTCATCAGCGCGTCGCTTCTCCGCCGAGTGCCGACGCAGAGCCGGCTCATCGACGCGTCGCTCCTCCAAGTGTCGTCGTAGGGCCGACTCATCAACGTGTCGGCGTGGGGTCGGCTCCCGAGACTCGCCCACCTCCTTTGTGGGTGATCTCTCGGCTTGTCTGTTCTCGTGTTGGCGAGGGCCTCTGGTAGAGGACCCCTCGGCCCGTGATCCTAATCTTTGCCGCACGGGCGCCCTCTGTCCCAATCGTTCTGGCGCAGATTGGGAAGGGCCTGGTTGTCGTCTGGCCGGTCCACTTCTTTGGGCCTCTACCCCTATTTGCTGGGGCCGCGGCGTGGGAACTTGGCCTTGCGGTCCCACCGCCACCTGATTTAGCGCCGCCGTCACTGCTTGCTGAATGATATCGGCGGTTGCCTGGAGGTTCACGGCTTGGTTCACCCCCCCATTGTTGAGTTGGTCTCGAAGGTCCCCGGGCCTCCCGTTCACGGCTTGGTTTACCCCTCCATTGTTGAGTTGGTCTCGAAGGTCCCCGGGCCTCCCGTTGTTGTGCTGTTCTCGGAGGTCCCCTCCGCGATTGTTGGTGAGTTGGTCCCGGAGGTCACCTGAGACATTGCCATTGTTCACGTTGCGAGAACCGTGGGAGCTGCGGGACGCCATTCTTTCAGGCTTGCTGTTGAAAGAGAAAAAGAGTAGTGTTATAGCCTGCTTGAGTATTGGACTCAGGCTCTCAATGAAAGCACCAATGACGGTAATAACGTTACCGGTCATAATATTAGAATAACAAATGATGTGACAAAGTAACAATAGACGTAACAATAGTTGTATTGCCTTTTGTCTCAGTATAGAAAGTACAGTGTGTCTTTGCTAGCTGAGGAGATCCCTATTTATACTTAGAGTCCCAACGGTAACAACACGGACATAAATGAGGAGCCTGGTCTTTAAGTCTCTCTCATCAATGGGGGCTTCAATGTTGTCTTCAATGTCAGTAAAGGTGGCACCTGTTGGGATTCCTGACCGTTGGAGTTTCTATTCGTTGGGTTCCCATGTGACGCTGAGTCAAGAGTCCATGCCCATTTGTGATCCGGGTCGGGCCTATTATCCTGTCAGTTATAATCTAAATTGATTGTGAAATCTATTACTCTGTATTTATTAATCAGCTGTAATCTTATAAATTCTTTTAAATAATTATATATTTTTTTTTGAAAGGAATATAATTATATATTTAATTATAAGCTTATTAGATATGAAACCCAGAGAATATAATCTCGAAATTTTGGTATTGTGTATTGCAATTATGCCAAGTATTCGGTATGTGTCACAAACATAAATTTTGTGGCCTATAACGTGCAATGCCACCTTAATTCCCTCCACCAGCTAAGCAATAGCATGAATAATGGCAGCAAAGAGAACAACAGAACTTTGTACATATTCCTCTAATATTCCAACATTTTTTAATATTCGAATAAGATCTCAAATTAAAAGTTTTAAATAAAATAATAAAAATGAAAAAAAAAATACTTTTTTTCCTAATAAAATCATAATATGATGTAACTATAAGTTTAATCAATCTAAATATGATCATAAGTAGTACGTTAAATATACTCGAAAATGGACAAGCCAAAATGGAAAGGGTGCTGTCTGACCTTATAGAAAAATACAAACTGTCTTGTAAATCAAAATATGAACCTAGGTTTCATATAATTAGTCCGTTTAAACCAAAAAGGTTTTAGTCCAATTTTATCAGAAATTAAACTCAAAACCTTATGATTATCCAAGTGAATTGTCTGACTAACTGATCTGGGATAGCCCTGAAGACACGTTTATTGCAGTCCCAGGTTTATAACTTGTCAAACATCCGACAGTTCACAGTTGGGAGGTATAAGGAAAATGTCATGTATTCGGTATTCCAGACCCCTATATTCATAAGAACGCGTTTTATCAATCTAACCTTCCCTTTTGCCAAAGAATCCTCCTGGAACCAGCAACTTTGGTTTGGTGGTTCCCATCTTTTATGTTGATAGGACATATGACCAAACTTGTTTAGTACAATAAAAGTAGTGTTCACAAGAAGCAAGAAACATGCCCAAACATGGCGCCATTAATTTAAACAGAGAAAAAGGCAATTAAAAACGAATAAAAAAAGAAACAGTTGTAGCAACCTCATCCAGTTGTATCCCTTTCCAGTTTCTAACCTTTTCCCAGATCGTGACGACCAAACTCCACTACGTTTTTGTCCTTTTTCTCTACCCGCAGGCTGTCTCTTAGTTGTCTTAAAACCACTCTCTCCCTTAGCTGTAATCTATGTGTAGATTCTCCGTCTCTATGCTGTGTTCTTTGCATTATATAAGCATTGCCCCACTCTCAGTTTTCCTCATCACTTCCAACTTAATTTCTCTTCTGTTCAGCTAACAAAGTTACAATGGCTTCTCTTCTTAAGCCCAGTTTTCTTTTTGTTCAATTAGCCATTTTCGCTTCATTGTTTCAATACTCCTTGGCTGCGAGGCAACTCGCTGAGTCAACCCAGGACCAGTCTTTTCTCTTTCAATATCACAACGGCGCTCTTCTCACCGGGAAGGTCACCGTAAACCTCATTTGGTATGGCAAATTCAAGCCTTCCCAACGCGCCATCGTTTCCGATTTCATCACCTCATTGTCTTCCACCACCTCTAAGCCCGCCGCCGCGGGTCAACCCTCCGTCGCGACGTGGTGGAAGGCCACCGAGAAATACTACGGCGCGCTCAAGTCCAAGAAAGCTTCCCCGCTCGTCCTCTCGCTAGGTACTCAGATCTTGGACGAGAAATATTCTCTGGGAAAATCACTGAAAGATCACCAGATTCAAGAGCTGGCAGCCAAGGGCGATCAGCAAAACGCCATTAACGTTGTACTCACGGCTTCCGATGTTGTCGTCGAAAGATTTTGCACTACCAGATGCGGGACCCACGGCTCTGCGTTGAGTTCCAAGATTACCCCTGCAAAGGGAAAGAATTACAAATTTGCCTACATCTGGGTTGGCAACTCGGAGACCGCGTGCCCGGGAAAATGCGCGTGGCCCTTCCACCAGCCCATTTATGGCCCGCAGGCCCAGCCCTTGGTGGCGCCCAATAACGATGTGGGCCTGGACGGTATGGTTATTAACTTAGCGAGCCTCATGGCTGGGACCGTGACGAACCCATTTGGAAACGGGTTCTACCAGGGCCCGGCGGACGCGCCGTTGGAGGCTGCTTCGGCTTGCACCGGGGTTTACGGAAGTGGGGCCTTCCCTGGATATGCTGGCAATCTGTTGGTGGACCCTACTAGTGGTGCTAGCTATAATGCGCATGGCGCAAATGGGAGGAAGTACTTGCTCCCAGCCCTGTTTGATCCTTCAACCTCGTCCTGTTCTACGCTGGTCTAATGTCGTGTTTGTTTACCGCGCAAACACACACACACAAACACATAGGATATTGTCATCTTTACATATTCTTTGATTCATTCATTCTTATTTAGAAATTCAGAATTTATTAATGAAAATGTACTTCATTCTTTCATATGTCCATTGTTGTTGCATTCCCTTTTGTTAAAAATAATTTAGGATAAATGCAAACTAAAATAATACTAAATACATATTAAATTAATTTGGTAAAAACTAACATTCGCGATTTTTATGTGACTAACTTCCATTTTTTGGTTGAACCTATCATGAATGAAAAACTGTGAAATGATTATTCTATCAAGCATGATGGAGACATATCTATTATGAAATTTCACAAAAAGTAAAATTCTATTATCCAAGAGTCGCCACACCTAACATGGTGATACATAGTTTCAACATGTCAGAAGCTTGCATATAGGGAGCATGGTGGTACATAGTTTCAACATGTTAGAAGCTTGCCATATAGGGAGTTGTCCAATTTCGAGTGTGCAAGCATCAAGCATATTTTTAGAGAAGGAAAAAAAGAAAAAAACAAACAAACAAAGATGTCAACTTTATTAGCTAATATTGCTACGAAAAAGAGTATAGCATGAGAATCATGGAAATCAACTCAGGAGCCAGGACTTTTGTCAGTGGGGTAGAACATTACAACAAAAAAAGATAGTTTTTTAAATAATTATAATAGAAAATAAATTATAAAGTACACATCTCATTTTATATATATATATATATATATATATATATATATATATGAAATTGTGTTGAAGCAATAGCCTAACTATTAATAATAATAAAAAGTCATAAAAATTATTTAAGCACTACAAGATTCAAACCTTCAACCTTACCAAAAATCAAACAAACACCTAGCCAGCTAAACCAAACCAACACTTGTTGACATTTTTGTGTTTTATTGTACTAATACTTGAAACCTGTTATATATATATATATATATATATATATATATATATATAAAAGGGTAATATAGGGATGAGGGTAGGGGTGGGGGAGGGGGTAGCTATATATATATACACATACAAGGGTAATATAGGGATGAGGGTAGGGGTGGGGGAGGGAACAGCTACCCCTATGCTGAATCCGCCCCTGTCTCCATAGTTCCGTTTTTTTTTTTTTTTTTTTTTTTTTTTTTTTTTTTTTTTGGAATACAGAAAAGGGGGAAAGACCCTAAGCTGAGGAAACAAAAAATATGTTTAGCCTGCGCCGTTTTAGGGACGAGACGCGAACACACAGCACCCAACTAGTCATTATGGACTAATATGTAGCAGCCAGGGGAATAAAAAAACATCCTGTCAGCCCTATTCTTGACTGCCAAGGTTACAATCGTTATACCATGCACCAGGGCGCATATAACAATGTGCGTACCGCGCCTCTCAAAACGGCGTCGTTTTGTTAAGTTGTGTGGAGAATTAACGTGATAAAAATGTATGTGTATTCAATTATAAAATTCTGTGTTTTCAATTATAAAATTTTGTACATTCGAAACAGTGAATTTTTATCATTTAAAAAAAATTATGTGTTTTCAAGTATAAAATTCTGTGTTTTCTATTATATAATTCTGTACATTCACATGAGAATTTTCAGTTATAAAATTCTGTGTTTTCTATTATATAAGTTTATACTTTCGAAACATGGAGATTTTCAGTTATAAAAATTTTATGTTTTTAGGTATAAAATTTTATACATTTGAAACATAATTTTTTTTAAAGACTTAACATCATCGTTTTGGGCTAGGACGCAGTGCACCCTGGTGCACGATATAATTTGCCCCTGGCGAACAAAGTTGAGGAAAAAAAAAAGGCTACTTGGGCCTGAGTGTGACGAGCCAAGTCCGCAACAATGCCCAATAGGCAGTGTTAAGACCCAAAACAATGACGTTGGTCCAAAGTAAAGGTTCATCTCAAATCACCAAAGTTTGAAGCTTGACAGCACGTGCGAGAAGACAAGTCCTACAGGCTACAGCGCTACAAAGCTTTTCCAGCATATATACACAACTGCATGTACAAATATTCCCCGGCCCCCAAAAAATAAAAACTCATCTTCGATCTTTGTATTGGCCTGCTATGTCGTCTTCTCTAACTTTTATGGCTTTATATAGTAAATTATTATAATGTGTATATCTTTCACAGTTTCACACTTTCACCTCTGGATCTGAAATAAAAAAACGTGCAAACTGTGACCGACCGACAAGTCCTTTGTTTCCTTCCAACGTTGTTAACATAATTATTGGTCACTGTGCCCGGCCGGTTGATGTAACAACAGATCATTGCCTTATGTGCCTCTATTCAACTCCCTTCTCATCTTGCATCATCTACTTCACATGGTTACGTTTTATTCTCTCTTGCATATAATGTAGTCTTTAATAGCTTTGAATATCTTGAGGTGAAAACTGATTTTCAACTTTAAAAACAGGGTAATTAATCATAAAATTTTACTTATTAATGAACAATTCTCGTGAGTGAACTGATAAGCAAAAGATAAGTTAATACCTGATTTGCTCTATCGACTATTAGAATTTTACCACTTTAACTATCAACTACTAAAGTTGTTCAATTTAATCCCTAATTTTTACCCAATCAAACTTGAAGGTTAAAAGAGGAACTAACGCTAGAAATAAGAGCTTTTTTAGTCAATAAGAGCTATGCAAGTGAGTGTTGATGGCTGTCGGTAAGAAAAAAATTTAAATCTTCACAAAAACACGTAAGAAAGATAATTAAGGAATACTATACGAAAGGTATTCTCAAAAAAAAAAAGGAATACGAAAGGAAAGAGACGCTGAATAACAGTTCATATTTATATAATATAAAAAATCATGAATTTTACGGTAGATGACAAAGTCATCCTTTCATTTGGGGCCAACGACTGACCTTGTTGGGTCTATTCTGCCATGATTTTGCATACTTTAGTTTTGAGCCTTTCATAGTTATAGAATCTGCTGTCCAAACTACATAAGGTTCAGAATCTATAAAAATAATGCTACTCATACATACACATGTTATTATATGACATTAGTCATAAGGTGCATGCCTATGTGTTCCAAGGTTGTACACAAGTCCTAAATATTATATGGTCCACTGAATATTCTCTACCAACAAAATGACACTCATGTATGTTTAATTTGTGCATTTTCTCAACATAATTTTGAGAATTCTACAATTTCATGCAATAATGACGAATACTATATGTATGTATGTGTGTGTGTGTGTGTATATATATATATATATATATATATATATATATATATATATATGTAATTGTTTTTGCATGCAGTCGGCCTTCTCATGTGCGGTTGTGTGGTTGCTAGCTTTAGGTGCGTGGTTTTCCTTCTTAAAGTGTGTGTTTTGTGTGCTTAAGGTGCGTCGACTTAAAGCTTTAGGTGCGTGGTTTTCATTCTTAAGGTGCGTGATTTGCATGCTTAAGGTGCATCAGTTGTTGAAACTTAAGGTGCGCCATTTTAAACATTTAGGTGCGTGATTTGTATTCTTAAAGTGCGTCTTTTTAAGTTAACCACACAATCGCACAGGAAGCCATATCTACACTTGAACCCTTCCCCCCACACACACACACACACACACACACACACACACACACACACACACACACACACACACACACACATATATATATATATATATATATATATATATGTTCAGGTGCATTTAAGAGTTTCCCGTGCGGTTGTGCGGGTGATTAATGTGCGCGAGTTTTGTACTTAATGTGCGTGAGTCTTGTGCGTAATGTGCGTGAGTTTTGTACTTAATGTGTGTGAGTCTTGTGCGTAATGCGCGTGAGTTTTGTGCTTAATGTGTGTGAGTGTGTACTTAATGTGAGTTGTTGTTGAAATTTTAAAGTGCATGAGTTTTATGTTTAATGTGTGTGAGTTTTATGCTTAATGTGCGTGAGTCGTGTGCTTAAAGTGCGTGAGTTTTGTATTTAATGTGCATGAGTGTGTACTTAATGTGAGTTGTTTTTAAAACTTAAGGTGCGTGTGTTTTTGTGCTTAACATGCGTGAGGCTTGTGCTTAACATGCATGAGATTTGTACTTAACATGCGTGAGGCTTGTGCTTAACATGCGTGAGGTTTTGTTCTGAAGGTGTTTTGTTTGTGTGCTTAATGTGCGTGTGTTGTGTACTTTAAGTGCGTCAGATTAATGCTTAACGTGCGTCCACCCGCACAACCGCACGGGAAGCCTCAAATGCACTTGATCTCTTACATATATATGTGTGTGTGTTATTTGAGGAACTTGAAGAAATTAATTCAATTTTGTCAAAATATAAAGTATTGTATATATTTTTTTTTGTTAATATTCAGCTATATTTTTCTTAATATTTATTATCTTAAATTGACACGAACCTAGACTGCTCAACTTTACAAACTCAAAGAATTACTTGTGATAGATGATGATAAATCTTTCTCTCTATTTGATTAGGGTAAAGATGTAAAGATTTTAGGTGGAATCCACTTCAAAAGGATGATTATGACACGGATCAAGTTAAGAGTTCCTCCGTAAGATGGTAAATAAATATTCTCACAAATAAATTCTTTTTTAATTTAACAATTTATTTGTTTGTACCAAAATAGATTTATAAATAACAAAATTATAGACATTGTTATGGACTTTTAGCTATTTTAAAAATTAAGGGTACATGTTTTCAAAATAATAATAATAATAATAATAATAATAATAATAATAATAATAATAATAATAATAATAATAATAATAAATTAAGGTTACATCATCCCTCAAACATATCTAGGGGTCCTCTTTGGTTGTTTGCCCATATACTTTACTTGCAAGCTATTTAAGAGTTGGGTGGAGTGCCTCGAGAGATACACGTCAGGCAACTTCGAACTCATGAGGATTAGAGCATCACTAACAAGGGGTTTTACACAAGAATTAATAAAAAAATTAGATATATGAAGGAGATAGGAAAGAGGGGTGGGTTGGTCCGGTTAATTTAGGGGTTTTGCAGGGGTGGGGGGGGGTTGCAGGGTTTTGCAGTTTTTTATTTTTCTTTTTCATTTTCACTCATTTCTCTTTTCTAATCACATCTCAAAAAATTATACCAAAATTCTCACTATTAATGATGCCCTTAGGATG